ACACACACACACACACACACACACACACACACACACACACACACACAACAAAGCAAAACAACAAAAATATTAGCACCTGAAAACAGGTATACTGATGTGTGTCTACCATCTCACCACTCAAGAGTTTGAGGCCGAATAGTCAGAAGTTCTTAGGCATCCTCAACTATATAGTAAATTAAAAGTCAGCTGGGGATATCTGAGACCCTATCTTGGATAGACAGACAGACTGATAGGTAGATAGATTGATTGATTTAGTGTTTTCTATCTTTGCCATTTGTATTTATCAGAGTAAAATATTTGATATAGCTTAAAGTAGGAGCTAACTTCACATTGTCACATCGAAAGTCAATATGGACAGTGATAAAAAGCACCCCCATAGTAGCCCCTTCTTTGTCTTGTACCAGTGTTTACATGACATGGATCTATTCAGGGACTCTTGATTCAATGCCCTTTGCCCTTTTTTAGTCTTACTATTTAGCAACCTTAAGTACATTCTGATAGTTGAGAGCATAAACTCTGTACTTTTATTCTTCTTTAAGATGGCTTTGGTTATTTTGGCCATTTTTATGTCCATAAAACTTCTAAAAACTAGCTTATGCACAGTACACTTAGAGAAGTTTTGATTAGAAGTTTAAGAAACCATAGATTAAATCATAGAGAAGTGACATCTCTATAATACTGAGAATTCTGAGAGCTATATGTGCCATCATTTATTAAGGTTTTCTTCCATTTCTTTCAGTACAGCCACAAGGAAGGACATCATCTTCTGTGGGTTTACCTCTAAATATCTGACTTGTTTACTGCTATAGCCAATGCTAGATTTAAGCTTCATTTCCTCCTTGTCTCCTGTTTATTCTGGTTTTCATTTAATGACTACACATCATCATTAAATATCTTCCTTTCTCAATGACCACTCACCCACAGGACACAGGAAATGCAATTTTAACTTTTGCTTTCTTATATTAAGAAGTCAGAACCTATAAATGAATAATGACTATTGGGCAGATGTAGTAGAATTGCCCAGTAGACACATATTAGCCTCCATATTAGTAGCAAAAGAAAATTAAACTAGTCTGAGTGACTTAGTTTGCCTAGTTGCCTTCTTCCTGAACTGAGCCGAGCAAACACAGCTCTGTTGGTTTACTGCCTGATTGTGTTGTTTGTGTGCTAAAATAAACAAATAAGCATAACCATCATCATTTAAGCAGATAAGCTCCAAAGATTTTTAAGGTAAAAACACTTAAACTAGCCTTTATGCACAAACATGAATAAAGTCAATTTATGTAGTTAGGAGGTGTTACAACATCTGACATCATGAAAATAGACACTTTGAATGACTAACCAGCATATCTCTTAATCTCTTCCCCACAAACTAAAGTCAGATTTATAATAAAAAAAAATCATCAAAAAGTGTTTTGCTGTGGAAATCATGCAATTTCAACTTTACACACAAAGATACAGATGACCTTGATCATCTAGAATGGTCCTTGATATATCACTGCTGTCCTACCTCCAAACCACAGTTACAACCATCACTGTTAGAATAAACCATCCATCAATATCTGTATCTACATATACATATAATATCTATAATCTACCTATTTCTATCTACCTATCTTCCTTCTTTCCTTTCTTATCTTCCTATCTATCTACCTATCACCTATCTATGTACCTATTATCTATAACCTATCACATATCTAACTATTTATATATCATCTGTTATTCTATCTATGATCATTCCATCATCTATCATCTATCTGTCAGTCTGTCTTCTTTCTTTCTTTATGTACCTATCATCTATCTGTCTACTTATTATCTATAATCTATCACCTATCTAACTATTTTTATCTATTATCTCTTATTCTATCTATAGTCTTTCCATCATCTATTATCTATCTGTCTTCTTTCTTTCTTTCTTTCTTTCTTTCTTTCTTTCTTTCTTTCTTTCTTTCTTTCTTTCTTTCATCTATTTATCATCTAGCATCTATCAATCTTTCTACCTATCATCTATTATCTACCTCTCAATCAATTTATCTACCTACCTATATACATATATACTTATCTGTCTATCAATCTATTATTATCTATCTGTCTATCTATCTATCTTTGAATTCACAATCTTCTTGCCTCAGCATTCCAAATGCTGAGATTACAAATGTGTATCACATTCCTAGCTCATAAAATAAATATATTTCTACAGCACTTACAAATTTCACTAGGACTGAACAGTGTAGAATATCTCTCAAGACATACCATATTTCCTGGAAGAACTGAAAGGCCAGCAGTGCCCACTTATTACCTACCCGTAATATCTCTCTGCAGATGTATGCAATCCACTCTTCTTTTAATGTGTTGCCTTTCGTGTTCTTGATCAGGTCAGTGACAGAGCCAGCACCACAGAACTCCATCACCAACTGGCAAAGAAAGAAAACAGCATTTTTCATAATCATGTGTTATAGGATATTTGATTACATTGTGAACCTTGAGATTGTGTTGTTTTCTGAAAAACCTGTTTCTAGTTGTGGTATGGCTCAACCATAACACACACCTTTAATCCAAGAGCTTTCTTATTGAACAGGATTGCATAAAGTCAACCATAGGTTAAGAGGTAGAGCAAGCAACCAGTTGACAGGGAGTGAACATCGGAAAACACCATAAAGAGTAAGAGGAAGTCAGGAGGACTAATAGAGAGACACACAGGAAGTAGAAAGGAGGGACATTCTGTTTGAAGGCTTTGTGACCCAGACACAGAGGAATTTAGACAAGAACCTACTGCCCCACCACATGATAAAACTGAAGAAGGATGGCCGAAGGTTGTTAGTAAACCAACCTTAATTTATATAGTTAATATACAATACCTACCAGAGATGACAGGCACCCCAAGGTAATGAAGAGATCAAATAAAATCCTATAAACATATTAGATTTGAGAACTAAGGAATGAGTTCCTATGGTATGCATTCACTCTGTGTGAAGCAGATATTAAAAACAGAAGTATTCCCCAAGTCTGAAACAATTTGGCAACAGCAATATTGTAAGCTGGTCCTCAGTTCCAATGGAGATTCAGCCAATGTGCTCTTTACAGCTTGGAATCCTACTGACTTCTTTATTACCTAAGTCATGACTGCTGATAGTAATTGATTTAAAATATTGCTTTTTCACAAGCCCTTTGTATGTGCATAGTAAGGAAAGGTTTGCTTTCTCAGTACCTACCTATAATAATAGTTATCCAATAAAGAGATAACATCGGAAAGTCTTACCACAAGGCATTTAAACAGTCCTAACTTGTGCCAATATTTTGTACAACAACCATTAAAAATAATTCATGAACAGTTTCCTCAATCAATAATTTACCATTATATGGGTGATATCTTACTGGCTGATTCAGATGCAGATACCCTAGGAAAAAATGTTGAAATAAAGAGACCATGAAGCAAAAAAGGATGAAGTAAAGAAAAATTTGCCTTGCTGGGCATTATAAATTGCTCCTGAAAAATGCAAAGGGGAGATTTTATCTGCTATATAAGATAGGTTTACAGAAAATTTAACCACACAAAGTACAACTCAGGAGAGATATATTATAAATTGATGATGATTTAAAAAAATTGCTAGGAGATAGTAACTGGCTGAAGCCCAAAATTCGATTAACTCCTTAAGAGCTAAGTAGCTTATTTCAAACCCTACAAGGTGATAATGACTTAAATAGTTCAAGAAAATTATCAAGTGAAGTTGAGAAAAAATTGGCTCTGGTAGAAAAAAAATTACAGGATGACCATGTGGACTGCTGGATCTAAAGCTGGACTGTATTTTGGTTATTTTGTCTTCTACTCATTCTCCCACAGGAATTCTTATGCAGAGAGAAAATAATACCTTAGAGTGAATATTTTCAGCACACAGAGTAAAAAGAAATTAAAGACCTATGTAGAATCAATTTCTAAATTGATTCTGAAAGGAAAAGTGAGACTTTGTCAACTAGCAGGACTAGGCTCAACAGAAATTGTGGTGCCCTTTACTAATGTTGAAATTGCCTCATTATGGGCCAAAAATGAACTTGCAGTAATTTTTTTGAAGGAGAGGACGGAGAGACAACAAATATTCCTAAAACAAAAGACTTCAGTTTATAAAAAGAACTAACTGGATTCTCCCTCGTACACTAAAAGGGACACCAATTTTTGGGCCCCCTACATTTTTTACTGATGCAAATAAATCAGGAAAGGCAGGTTACAAATCAGGAAAAAAAAATGAGTAAAATGGCTCAAGGCCCTTATGATTTTGTTAAAAAATCAGAGCCACAGGCCATTCTTGTGGTATTCTTAGATTTTCCTGAATCTCTTAATATAGTTACTGACTCTCAGTATGCAGAAAGTTATTTAACAAATTGGAACCACTTATTCTGGATGATTCAGAAATAACTTTTCTATTTATTCACAAGTGATAAGAAATAAAAATTATCCATTGCATATAACACATATCTGATCCCATAAATGTCTATCAGGCCCTCTAGCACAGGTAACAATGAAATTGATCAACTATTAATAGGAAATGTGCTAGAAGCAGCAGAATTTCATAAGAAACATCATGTTAACACCAAAGGTATGGAGAAACATTTTTCTATCACTTGGCAATAAGCCAAAGAAATGTCCTACTTATTCAATGTATAACCAAACTCCATTACTTCCAGGAAGTAATGTAAAAGGTAGCCCCCAAAAAGAAATTTGGCAAATAAATATGTTTCATTTTTCAGAGTTTAGACAAAGTATGTGTGTCATACCATAGATACATATTCAGGATTTCAATGGGCAACCACTTTAAGTTCTGAAAAGTCTGATTCTGTAATTAAATATGTATTAGAAGTTATGTCTATTATGGAGGTACCTGTACAAATTAAGACTGATAATGCTTCAGCAAAAGTCTCTTATAAAATGAAACAGATTTTTGCATATTACAGCATAAAGCATGTTATAGGCATACCACAAAATCCTACAGGACAAGCAGTTAGAGAAAGGTCTGATCTCCCTTTAAAAGATAGGCTTAATAAATAGAAAGGGCTAATAAAAGCCTCTGCAGAGATGGACTACACAATGCTTTATTAGCTTTAAAATTTTTAAATGTCAACGAGAAAAGAACAACCATGGTGGAGAAACATTAGATAATAGGGGAAAAAAAAAGTGCTGAATTAAATCAACCTATATATTTTAAAGATGTATTGACCTCAGAAGGGAAAACAGAACATGTGTTACATTGGGGAAGAGGTTTTGTATTTGTTTCCACAGAAGAAGAAAACTGTAGGTACCAATGAAATTGATAAAGATTAGATTCAAGCACGAGAGATCTTTTGAATAATGAGAAGTGATAGTTTATCAGACAGCTTTGTCATTCAGTCCAAACTAACTTATAATAAAGATCAACAAATGCCTTTTATTTGATCTAACATGAAAAATAAAAACAAATAAATTTTCAAACGCTAATTTACCAGACAATTTGCTTTATTTGCATAAAATGAAAAATGGATTTTCTTAAACCATGTGTCTTAATTACATGTTAGAATGTTAGGCTGTAGATTGCCACAGGGCCAGCACCATCTTGGACACCAGCTTTTGAGTTTTTTTGTTTTGTTTTGTTTTGTTTTTTGTTTTTTGTTTTTTGTTTTTAAATAAATAGGATAATTTTGTTGTTTGGTATTAAAAACACAGCGAAGAGATTTTAAATGTTTTAAGAAAATTCAAAGGGTTAGCACAGTTCAAACTTGTTTTCTAAATCTCTAAGAATTGGAGTGATTAGGAGCTAAGATAAAATGTTTAATCAGAGTGGTGGTAGCCTGTGCCTTTAATCCCAAAAGACAACGGTGTCTTTTGCTTTACAGAAGCTTTTCAGTGTCATGAGCTCCCATTTATTGATTGTTGCTCTTAGAGCCTGTGCTGTTGGTGTTCTGTTCAGGAAGTTGTCTCCTGTGCCAGTGAGGTCAAGGCTCTTCCCAACTTTTTCTTCTAACAGGTTTACTGTGTCTGATTTTATGTTGCGGTCTTTGATCCACTTGAAATTTAAATTTATGCAGAGTGATAAATATGGGTCTCTTTTCATTTTTCTACATGTAGGCATCCAGTTAGACCAGCACCATTTGTTGAAGATGCTGTCTTTTTTTCCATTGTATGGTTTTTGCTTCTTTGTCAAAAATTAAATTTCCATAGGTATGTGGGTTTATTTCTGGGTCTTCAATTTGATTCCATTGGTCTACCAGTCTGTTTCTATGCCAGTACCATGCCGTTTTTATTACGGTTGCTCTATAGTACAGCTTGAGATCTGGGATGGAGATACCTCCAGAAGATCTTTTATTGCACAGGATTGTTTTAGCTATTCTGTTGGACCACGCATGGAGAGGACCTAGACCCCCTGTTCAAAGAAAGCCCATTGGCTGCTCAGTTTCCAAATGGCTTCCCTAGTAAAGGGAACAGGAACTCAGTGGCTGGCTCTTTGATCACTTCTCCCTGGGGGGCTGCAGCCTTGCCAGGTCACAGAGGAAGATGATGAAGCCATCCCTGATGAGACCTGATAGGCTTGGATAGAAGGGGAAGAGATCGTCCCCTATCAGGGGACTAGGGAAATGGCATAGAGGGAGAAGAGGGAGGGTGGGTAAGACTTGGAGGAGACAAGCAGTGATACAAAGTGAATAAATTGTAATAAATAAATATATAAATAAAATTAAATTTTAAAAAGAAAAAAAAGGATAATATTTTTTCTGTTGTCAACAAAACAAAACAAAACATTTTTCCCCAGGAAAGATATAACCTGCCAAAAAAAGGAACCCCTAGAGTTAGGGTTGGGACAGGATTTTGCTTTTATCTTTCCAGGAGAATAAAAGCATCCACCTACGGAATCAGGAGACCAATGGACAAATGAAACATCTGACTAAAAGGAATAGATTATCAAGAGAAAATGTCACAGGAAAAAGAGTAAACTGGCCAAGTAGTATTGCCCACATCCAGCTTGTCTCTGCTACCCTCTACAGCATAAGTCGTAAATTGTCTTCATATGGTCCCAATTCAATTAAAAATGAAAGCTGGCTTTGGGGTTGGAATGTGACTTTCTCCTTCTCTAAACCCATGCATGTTTGTTGAAGGAAAACCCCAAATCTTTGTCTCATTATCAGAAGAGCCACCTGGTATGGGTCAGAAAAAAACAAAAAATAAGGGACTAGTCTATTGGCACTAATCTCATAATCTTTTTGTTTTCATTTGACCCTCTAAAACATTTCTTAAGGTATATATATTATCTCAAAGGCTATAAGATCATTATGTATACATAAACTTTCTGTTGTGATACTAGTAGTCCTACAGAGTACTAACTCAGTATAGAAATATGCTTCATCTAACTTCTTATATGTGTTTGCAGGTTTGAGTCTGAAGCAAGTAACTAGG